TTCAAGATGCACAAACGTTTCATCAACGGTGGTCCAAGTTATAATGGAGATTCGTTTACACTTCCACGCAGAAAGAAATCAAAGTTTCACAGCATTTTGATAATTAAGGGCATTCATGAACTTATCTTAGATTTTGATAAATGGGAAATTGTAATGCATCGTAAATTTTCTTTCGCTTCCAACAAATAAGATTTCAAATTTCCATTGCCAAGCTTTGCACAATAAAACAAATCCACACAATCTGTTCAAACAGCTGCTAATTAGTTGTTCAGTTCAAGAATAACTTGTGATGTATTTGTATTCATTTGTAAAATAATTGCAAATAACAAAGTATAATGCGTATAGTTCTAAAAGTTTCAAACTCAACGATAAATGGCGAGGTTAGTCATGAGTCCATGAGTAACTTCTGAGTAGAGCGAATCGAAGTTCTTAAGCCGCGAGGTCACGAATGAATAAGAAGTGCGTTACTACTCGCACATAAACGAACGCAACATTTACAACTCCACGCTCAGCTGCGATGTCAAACATCGGTCTTTGGGTTCAACAGCCTAGTGATGAACTCGTTACTAACAGAATAAAGTGTGAAGAGGACAGCCTAGAGGTGTGCTCGCTACTCCCACTGTACTATGCAGAGAGGTCAGCCTATAATCCCTATATATGATATATTGTATTCTCGCTACGTACAGTGCGATGTGTAGGGATTGCATGCAGAGGTGTAGGGAGAGAGTAGGTACAAGTAGCAGTGAGGATAGTCTAGAGTTGTACTAGCTACTCTCACCGCACTGCGCAGAGCGGATGAACAAGGTACATTGGACGAGCTGTGCGAATGAATGTGTTTGTTGGCCCGAATGTACAGGGAAGAGTCAATTTACCCCCTGGCATTACGAAGGATGTCAGGAGCAGCGTTCATCTATTGATATGTATACTATTAAAGCGTATAGATATATGCAGGATTATCTACTGTACACTTATTCGAACCGATTCCACTGACATAGATAAAACACCTGTGTCAAAAGTGGTGACTTCTTGAGCGATGTTGGGAAATTTGTGCAAAACCCAATTTTGTTCGATGAATTATTTAAAATTATACGGTTTTGAAAAGCATAATATAATAAATTGAAAACTCCACGAAAAATTTCATCAAGCTTTCGCATAAAAATCGGCTTTTTCAGGACAATGAATGAAATAATTATTTTCTTTTAATGGTTTAATCGTTTGCTTGAGTCGATTCGTTCGATTCTTTGACCTGACACTGGTGGATGCGGTAGCCAAAAACATGAAGTTAAATGACCTGCTGGAATTTGCATTGTGGTGGAAGTTGCATCGCTTGTATCTATCTTCTGGTCAACTCAATTTGTTATGGTTCAACCTTTTTTTTAGCTTCTTGTCTTTTAACCCCTCAAGTTCTTGTAGTTCCTATAGATCTCATGTGGTTGAACCCTTCAATTTTTTGTGTTTTAAATTATGTATTGGTGGCTGAACCCCTCAACTTCTTGATGTTTATTACCTCGTTTTTTTTTTTAATTTTTCGTTATAAGTGCTCATAATTTTCCACATTAGCTCGACCTGAGTTCTGAGTTATGAGTTCCTAACGAGAATGTGCCGTCGTGTGGTGCAAAAAAGGCCTCGAAATTACTGGCCTAACAATGTCACTGGTAAAAAATAAAATTTTAAGAAGTTTTTACCAATAAACTTCAGTGTCAAATTGAAAGAAACTCATAGATCATTCATTGAGTTCAACGTTATTCGTGCATCGATTAACCTTACGAGAACGTTGGGAAGAAACTTATCTACAGTTGTTGAAACGTTATTGGATATAACGTTTATTGAAGTGTATCTCAGATTATTTATGCAGTGTTAATTTATTGAAAAACATATGAATAAAAGGACAATAAACACCCCTGACAGATCATGAGGCAAAACATTTTGATAGCGCCTCAACAGTTTGAATTCAATATATGATCTTTTTTTCGGGGCACGTTTAATACAATTATCACTACATGTTGTATGAATGTACTACACCAGCAACAGTAGCACACATTACATTGCGCTTCAGCACTAAACTCACATAACAATTCCGGCACAAGCTCCAGGACGACCTCCACCATGCAGCACATTCATCAACAGCTGCGTGGTCAGCCAGTTTAGGACGCCAGCCAGTTTAGGACGCCAGCCAGTTAAGGCCGCCAGCCAGTTTAGGACGCCAGCCAGTTTAGGACGCCAGCCAGTTTAGGATGAGTGGGTGGTATATCGTTTTTCACATTCAGCATTCCCCTTTTCACCGCAATTCGTACAATTGCATATAATCATCCATGCTCATTTGCCACATTTTAACAAGAAATCGTTAGAACTGAACTCAAATTATTTTTTATGAATTCACAATATTCAATATCGCTTGCAACAAAACACGACGGTAAGATAAAAACCTGCTTGATAATCGATCGTACCAGATATGAAATAGAACCATCTTCATTGAATTCCATTGTACCAGCTTCGAATAAACTTTAAGACTGCAGGGTTACCAGATGGCCTAAAAACGGCCAAGTCATCGAGAAAAAAAGAAAAAAAGGCATATAACTCAATATACATTAGTTTATTTGTAGGTTCCAGGGTAAAAATTCATTTTTTCGTACTTTTTACAACTTAATAAGGAGCTACCCCTATAATAAATTTTAGCCGGCCAACGCAATTAAAAAAAAACTAAATCACGGAATTTATCAATAAAAAAAGACCGTCTGGCAACCCTGTCCACGAGAACCAATTGCATAGTATTTAATAGTTGTATAGCACCTGCGACAACAAAGCTAAATGAAACCAAACTCTGTTGCATTTAATAGTGCTTGCTTCAACGATGCTTCAGGAGAACAAACTCCTTTGTATTTAATTTTATTTGCTTGAACAAAGCTGCTAGAGGAGTGATAGTTATTCCATGCGCAGCAGCTGGTGCAATCCAGATGTTGCTGTACGTATAAGAGTTGCACTGTTTATGTTGCAAGAGAATGACACCAATAACAATAAATGTATGAGCTGCAGCTCCAGGTAACTCGATTGTTCAAATAGAAATAACATTAATTTTTATCAGTTATTATACTCTGATTGCATCGTTATCGAAAGCTGTATAGTTCGCTACTATTGTTTTCCTACAATTGTTCTACTATTTAAGTCATTATTACAGGTAATTATTTCTCTTCCCGTTTTTTTAAGTGGTATTATAGACATTTGCCATGAGTTAATATTATATTTTGAAATAAATATCATTCTTAGCTTGAGGCAATTTTTAATTTCATTCAGACTTTATTCTCAGATATCAAAACGCCGCCATCGTATCGCTAATGATTTTTTGTGCACACTTGTATAAAATTTTATAATTTTTAAAATTACTAATTTCGACACAGCCTGTCACATTACTACACAACTCGCGACACCATTTATTACAGAAGTGACACCAATGGATGATTTCCACACCTTCGATTAATTCTCCGTCCATTCTACTTTCTTCATCCTTGTTGCTTGCACTTTATCGTGAAAGCTGCCACTACACAATAAAGAACTCAGTCTTAAGTTACGCCAAAATTTTTGGATGGTCATAAGACGCTAAACCTCAGACCCTAGTGACCGGCGGCAGTGACAGCGACCTGTGGCAGTGGCAGTGACCTGTGGCAGTGGCAGTGACCTGTGGCAGTGCCAGTGACCTGTGGCAGTGGCAGTGACCTGTGGCAGTGGCAGTGACCTGTGGCAGTGGCAGTGACCTGTGAAGCAAACAAGTCTTCATCGCAATGCAAAACCAGTTCGCACCTCGTAGCTGATGATCGCAACATAGACCAGCTTTGTGCTGAGACAGGCCTCTCAAGAAACATGCGAAAAACTTTTCGCAAGAATCATGAAAAACTTTTGGGCTGTTTTATTAAATTCAGCATTTTATTTGACAAACTTTGTATCTGACTATATAGTGTTAAGTAATTAAAATAATTCAGGAAGGAATTTAATTGAGCTCGAATACTAACTAATCCATCTATCATCTATATACGGTTGCTCCAGAACTAGCCGATCCTAAAAAATTTAATATTGGCACATAACCTCGACATGACAAACCTCATTGCTATTTATTGGAATCATTGGCTATTGCGAATATTGCAATTCATATAGAAATAACATTTTCGATGCGCAGTCATGTTTATCGTCAGGATAATAGCAATGGTTAAGCTTTTTTAATTTTGCGTAAAGATCTTGGAATCTGACCGTCTCCATATTTCCTTTAAGCTCATGTTTAGGTCTTACTTGTACTTTTGTGTGAATCAGGGCAAAACATATAGACAAGCTAGAATATTCAAGTGAAATATTATTAAACACTATCGATTTAGTACAAATTATCAAAAGAAGAGGACAGACCACGTTTGTACAGGCCACGTGCTTGCACAGAACGTCGATGATCGTTTGTACAGGCCACAGAATTTGATGATCAGTAACTGGTTCATTAGTGGCAATGTTCAGGCTTAAGGTTTAAAGAAAATTCAACAAACTAACTATTCATATAGCACCACAGCTGATAAGCTTAGCAAGCCCTATTCATCTTCATGAATGAGCACCAGTCTGCTCTTGATCTCCAACAGCTTCATAAATTAAACTCATGCAAATCGTGTCCCATTCACGACAGTCAAACCACGAAGAAATTGGAGAGCGAGTAGTTGACCTTGCGCGCTGGGAGATGAGCGCCTGTCTGTTGCCGTGGTGGCGAGGATGCAACGAGGGACGACAGTGAGCACCCGCAGTGTTGTGCTGCACTGGTACTGATGCACATTGTTACGCTCAGGCGGTGCTGGGGCGTGCGAAGTTTGCCTGGAGTGTTTTTCACAGGTTTGACGCCAACGAGCTGCTGGTGCAGGACTGTTTGTGATTGTTTACCTGAGCAAAGTGAAACATACTGAGCGTGTGAGTTCATAAATACTGTTTACCAGTGAGTACAGGAATATTGTTAATGCAGATGTATCAGTAATACCCAGATGGTGTCACATGGTGAGTGGCACAGCCGGTCCAGGTACTCATGAAGTGAAGTAAGGTGCAATACATTGATGCGTTACTATTTTCTGCCATAAAGAAACTAAATTGCCGAGACTCAGTTGGTATAGTAGTTTTTAGACACACAATTGGATGTCGAGTGTCGGACACACTTTCTTATAAGTTGGCTAATTTACATTGTACATAATACTCTTCGAGTACAAGAATGGTTCATATGTACCACAAACATATCAGCTAATTGTTGAAGAAGTGTTAGTTGTAGTACACTGGTTTATGCGTCTCTGATCAACAAAAGTTGCAGATATTCTCTCCTGTATGAACAGTGAAACCTGTTTAAACTGCCTCCAATGTTCAAAACCGGACGGCTCGTCGGACGACAAAGGGATACACTCCCAACCTATACAAGTTTAAATCAGAGCTTTCCTATTGCCTTCTTGCCGAGGATTAAATATGAATAGATGCCCTTTCATTATTGAAGAGATAATCACCATTATGTTGCACATGGATGGCGTGTTACGTTGCAGAATCATCATTCGTGCAAATTAAAATTACAAAATTAATTCAAAAGAAATCACATCGTTTGAAATCACTGTGTGAACAGCCCAACAGAGATAAGAAAATCGTATATTTAACAGAACATTATTTCGTAAGTAATCTAATACTTACTTATACTAAAATTCGTCAGTTAGTGGGTAGAGGTACGTAAATCGACTATATCCTTTCTTCAATTATTTCATCCCTAAAGGCAGTATAGCTTTTTTTGTTAGCCCGTTTAATTGTTAGTAAGCGGAACAAATAATTGTTTTAATTAAAGGACTTGTCCTTGCGAGCGAGGGCAGCGAGTGGAAGAAATATTTGCTCGAGGAAAAGCTTCGGTCAAGGCAGGCCCCAGTTTTTTTTTTCTGAGCACAAACACAGGAAGAAAAATAGACGGCAAGCCAAGTAAATTTAACTGTATTTTTAGAAAATGAGTATTCTTTCTTTTATTCAATGCTTTGACATTAATTGTATGAAATTTATATCGATATATGGGCTCAGGAATTGTGTATATATATGAGATTCTCCAGTGTGCAATTGATTTTACTGTCTTACGATGACAGGATAAAAGGCAATATTTTCACATTCCTAAATCGTTACACTAGGAAAAGGTTGTATTTAGTCATAAATTTGCAGACGGGGAATCAGATCACCAGAAAAGTCGTTTGTTTGAAGATTATCCAAGCAATAAATGTGTTAGTAATAAATACCGGTCCAAAGTTCCGACGATAGATGAACTTTGAACCTCGGCGAACTTATAACCCCACACTAAAGCAATGCTGCCTATTGGGCAGTGAATTTTAATGGATATATGTTTATTGTATTGAATTATTTTTTTAATTCCGCTAGAAAATCACTTATAAACATCAAATGTTTGTAATATATTTCAAATCACGAGCAAAATTCTTTAGGATTCCACGTGCAACAAGTTTTTCCTCATTCAGACACATTTTCAAGTGATTCCATGTGAAAATTGTTGACACAAAGGGCAGAGGAAGAACCAGCTTAGCATTTGCCCACACGAGATAAAGCTCGCTTGCCCTGAAGCACAGCAAACACTGTATACACAAGGCTGAATAAATACAATTCAGTCTCGATCAGTGTTCCTACTTTGTCTTGATAGTAGCGTCCAATTAAAACACGCTTTTATACTGTTGCGTTTAATAAAGTGAGATTCTTCCTTGACCCATTAAGTTACCCATTATTTTTTATCTTTTGTGGACCAATTATATGAGTGAAGAAAACCTTTCCCAATAATCCCACTTGTAAAATCGCGGGTAAAATTTTAGTGCCCTTGTCACTTCTTTGTTGAATTTTGATTTTGTTCTCGCGTTGCGTGTTACATTCGGTATCCGAGCAAGCCTCAGGCCTGAGATGACTTCACATTAATGTCATCACCAGTTGACTTTAAGGAGTCAATGCGCGTGGAATACAAACATAGAATTATTTTAATGATTCACATCTGACATGAACATACAATATCGTTCCCAGTTCGAATTTATCGTTTATTAAGCATTATTATTTCCATGTTAGTTCACTTTGAGTTTAGTCACTTGAAATTCGCCAGTATACGCGTCGATTCCTTATCAATAAAAAATAAATTTAAATAATAAAATACAATTTTCCCTTGATTTTATTACTATCCTTATGATTTGCTATGATGTGGATACGCATCAATTGAGTTTCTTGTCGAACATCAACGCGATTAGGAAAAGTTACTTTCAGAAAAACTTACGAATTAGAATTGTAAATCATGATTTAAAAAATTCCCAAAGATTCGAAGTCGTGTCACGATTTCGTTTTCCTCCGAATAAGCCGTCAAATGTTCCGATGAACGATTCAATAAAACATATTTTTGCTGCATGGTCACTCCAGGCAAGATCAATTTCAGACCTTTAATGAGGCATCTATCTCAACAAGTATTCATTCGACGTATCCCAAAGAATTTAGTTCAATTTTAAACGACAATTTACCGTAAACTGGCGCTTTCTGTAGCGGCCATCTGCTCCTGAAAGCTATGATGTGAATAATAATTAGCGAACTGTTTGATTGGAACAATAGTTAAACTAGATTTGTTCTGGCGCTGACAATAGCTTTAAAAAAACTCTAAAATGCATAATGATTTTAACCAAAACTACTTTATGAGTAATTCACTAAAACATTGTAAACATAATTTGCATCAGAGAGCGCATTATTAAATATGCGAAGCATTAGCTGCCTGGCATGCCATGCTGCCATATTTAGGCAATGTAGCGCTCAGTAGCAAAATTACTTAAGATATAATTTATATCATCAAAGCTGATATATAATTACCAACAAATTGCTATGATTCGAGTTTTATGATAATTATGATATTATGATTTCTGATATTATGATATTTTTGCGTGTTATAACGCGCAACAGGAAAACTAATAAAAATAGTCATGATAATTGAGGGGGAGTAACTAGGTGCGATGATGACGAAAAAATATAACTCAGTACTCACTGCAGTGAGTGACAGAGAGCGCATTTTCTCGTCGACGAAAACCTAGAGTCACGGACGGACAGACAGACAGACGAACAGACGGACATGACGAGCACAATAGGGAATTTTGTCCATAATGAGAAAGAGCGCTAAAAAACGAGAGAAACGATATATATGAGATAGAGGTGGGGAAGGTGTGGGAAGGGACTGAGCATCGCATTATATAGCAGGGGTGATCAAGCTTTATACATGAGCGGAGGTGTACCAGCTCATTCCAAGCTCCAGGTCTGTCCAGTTTTTGCTTCGTCCGTCTATTAATGCGCCTGGAGCCTGAGAGAATTTTTCTTGCTTATCGTGCGCTGCCAGACTGTGACAATTATTTGACGCTTAGAACGTGTAATTTTTGCGCCATGGTAGTTATGGTTGAAAAGATACGTTCATATGCTTTTGATGCGCAGTTTTTTCAGTGTTTTTATTGCGTTAAGAGATCAATTGACAGTTATTGATCTAGAGGTTAAACTTACTTGGTTTAAATCTAATTTGTGATGCTTCATAGCATTGTAACTTGGAATATTGCGATAAAAAAGTATTGTTTTGGCGTTTCGATTATATTCAATAAAAATACAAAGTCATGGAACCGAAATATGCCCCAATTGGCTTACTGTGTTAATTAAACGTTAATTAAAATTTTTGGTTAAAATAAGTAAGTTAGTTTTTTGTAGGGAGAGGCTATTACAGTTGATAATACAAGCCCTTACACGATGACCCTGTATTGTTTGAACGGAGAGGCTGTGTGGGTATGAAAAGTGTGCGTATTAGAAGGCACTGCGAAGACTGTGTGAAGAACGCTCAATAATGTTACATCTGTTTAAACCTATTCGTAGATCTAGTGAAAGAATAGTTAATCTTTAACTTTTCACAGTTACTGTGAATAAATTTTTGAGAGATATCATATTTAACATTTAACATATTTGACTTCGTTGAACGCTATATTTTTGAGTTGTTGTAAAAAGACACTGCCTGATTAAAAAACACAGTCAAATTATTATAGACTATACTAGCCATCGATCGGTCAATGGTATTCAACATTTATTAGTGCAAGCAGGGTCGGAAATTTCCGATCCATTTTGATGTCATGTCGAGATCTCAAAAAAGTTTTATGATGCATGTCGTGTATCTAAAAATGTACGGTATTTTCGGCTGAGAAAACCTGTACTGAGGCTCTATATTCAGCCGCTTCTATCGCGTGTACCGCATGCACGTGTAAAGTTAGATTGAACATTATTGATTCTGTAACTTGCTATCTCACAACAAATAAATACAAACAATTTAACTTATTAAAGGTCTGTTACAATGTTTCCATTTTTACCTTTGGCTGTTAGATAGCCACGTACTTGCATTTAAGTTTCTCACGAACAAACTTTTTTTCGCTTTAAATCTCGAAGATTTATCCACTATCACGAAGAAGTATATATAAGTGCAAATCAACTTGGTTATGCATGACAGATCTCGTGAATGGGTTTCAATCTAAGATAAATTAGTTGTCTAGCGTCATAAGTGTCATCAACGCATTATCGTATTTGTTCATTAACGACTGCAAGAAAAAACAAGTATTCATTATTTCCGTAGATATATAAGAAATTGTAGCTATTTTAATATTAAAGTGGTCCCAAGAACGGCTGTGTTATATAATGGTTAGTGCTCAATCAATTTTTACGCTTAGCCAATGTTTGTGTATGAGTCTAACCCATATGTTTTATTATTTATAGATATATTTTACGATTTTTTTTATCAATTTGACGATACATGTACCGAAGTTTTGGAAATGAAGCTTGATCTGAAAGTCGTGATTGTCCTCTGTGGATTGTCTGCAGTTCAGATATTGGCCTTCAAAATACATGCACCACCAGACCAAAATTGGAAAGTGGAAGAGAACATAGTAGATTACCGCAAAGTCTACGGACTTGATACAGACTATTTGGAGTCATTGAATTTCACCCAAAATTTTCCAATCACGGACAAAAACATTTCAAGTGAAATAGGAAGAGAATATGAAAATTTTCAAAATAGTTTATCATATCACCGATTAAATTTAGTAAATCATACTAAGGATTTGCGTAGTGCAGAGTGGCCTCTCAAAAGACGGCGAAGAAACTTGGGCATTGCACCAGACAATGTCAACATAAATGCATCAACTACCCCCGAAGCAGAAAGAACTTCAATCAACAACGACACTAACAAAACAGATGATGATGATAGTGTACGGGAACAAATCGCCCTGTTCCCAGAAAGCAGCAAAAATGAGGATGTCAAAGATTCTCCGAACTTTGAATACATGTTCGTCGATCCCGAAAAACCTCCAATCTCTGAAGACTTTCCGATAGACGAGGCAGCTCCAGCCGACTTCAACATAAAAGATCCTGCATTGGACTCTAGAGGTCACGATTATGATAATATCGCATCTGTGAAAGATTTGCCAGAAGATAAGATTTCCCCTCAACAGCCCCAAGAAGCAATTCCCGCCGATGAGGTTCATCCTGAGGTCCACTTGCTCTTGCAGCCAAAGTCTGACGCTGCGGCAGAACTCAGTCCACAAGAAACGATCCCAGGAGAGCTCGAGGCCAGCAACGTAAAACCAGACGTCATAATTGTTCAGCCTGGTGAGCACACTTGAATATTTCTTCGGAATATTTTCAAATTTTTATATATTATCGTTCTGTGTCTCTAAATTAGAAATTCAGAACTTATTATAGGTCATTAAATGGAGAGCCGGGGTAAATTCAATGACCTATTTGAAACGGATTATAGCGGATTCCGCCTATAAAATCCATTGCTTTAATTCTGTCCATTTTTCCCAGGTACCTTGAGTGATTTTGCAGGGAAACCGTTAAAATAATAGTTCGCTCCAAACTATTGTGGTCTTCTACTTTATCAATAATTCATTGTCATTTTTTATTGTCTCTCACATAATCACTAATGTTTATTTCTCGTCAAACCTTCCCACCACTGAAATTCCGGTAGATTGTCACTCGTCCACTCATGATCATTTCCCGTCCAACCTTCCACTCCTTAAACTTGCTTCTATTGTTACTCCCCCACTCATGTTAGCTTCTCGTAGCACATTCCACCCTTTAAATTTCCTTCTAACATCAGTCCCCCACTCATGTTTACTTCTCGTCGTACCATCCACTCCTGAAACTTCCTTCTATTATCACTCCCCACTCATGTTTGCTTCTTGTCGTACCTACCACCCCTTATACTTTCTTCTATTATCACTCCCCACTCATGTTTGCTTCTTGTCGTACCTACCACCCCTTATACTTTCTTCTATTATCACTCCCCCACTCATGTTTACTTCTCGTCGTACCTTCCCACTCCTGAAACTTCCTTCTATATCATCACTCCCCACTCATGTTTGCTCCTCATCGTACATTCCACCCCAAAAACTTTCTCATATTATCATTCCCTAACTCATGTTACTTCCCGTCGTACCTACAAACCCCCGAGACCCACTTTTCAGGAGACATCGTTGACGATGACCCCTGCGCTCACTATCACCACGAGCACGAGCCCGGGGTGTACGTAGCGTCGCTCCGCTGGTACGAGGTGGGCGTCTACTTCACCATCACCGCCTTCGTCATCTTCGCTGGACTCGGCAAACTCGGTGAGCGAAATCCTCGCGGTAGGCATTTAAATTTTTATATGACAAATAAATTGGTTGAATCTCACACAGTTTGCCCTAAAATTTTCAAAATCACCGCCTTAGTTATCGGAGAAAGATAAATTGGAAAATTTACAACCTAAGTTAAATCATGAAAACGAGCATTCAATGATTTTTACACGATATTAAATTCCACTTTGTCATGGGAAAGAAGTTCAAAATGCCCCAACAGAATATTTATGAATGTCAAAATGACTTTTAACAACAAAACGATGTGGAAACTAGAGATTACGGGACAAATATACATTATCTTAAGTTTTTAAGTAGCCTATCGTGACATTTTGGTTCCACGCACAACCCGCAGTGTTCCACAAGATGCACTGGCTGTCCAGCCGGGTGCCGGAGTCGTGTCTGCTCATCGTGCTGGGCGTCCTCATGGGGCTGCTTGTCCACTACTCTGGCGGGTACTCTATAGAAGTGTCGGCGTTGAAGAAATAGGCCCATGGCCTGTATATGGCCTATATTATCAATATGATACATTATATAAAGTTTTATTATAATTATTGTAATTTAGCTAGGTAGAGGATGGGTTGATGTTAGCTTTGTCTTTTCTACAGAATTCCACAAATGTATATTGCGGATATACTGTACTTGGATGTTTTAAACTTTTATAGCTAGGCAGTAGTTATATCTCAATTAACTCTTGTTCTCAATATATATTATTAGTTATAGCTCTAATTATGCAAGTCTTTTAGTTATAGTCCATTAATTGTTATTTCTCTAAGAATTAACGGTTGCCTGGACTAGGAAGTAAGCTTGAATGCTTGGGTTCTCCCCTCAGTGCCGAGGGAGACACGGACTGTGCGAGCGCCGTGACCTTCCCGCGCTTCACGAGTCAGGCGTTCTTCATGGTGCTGCTGCCGCCGTGAGTGATCATGTAATATCCTGGTCATCATATCATGCTTCATATCCCCCGCTACAAGAGTCATGGTGCTGCTGCCGCCGTGAGTGATCATGTAATATCCTGGTCATCATATCATGCTTCATATCCCCCGCTACATGAGTCAGGTGTTCTTCATGGTACTGCTGCCGCCGTGAGTGATCCTGCCACACCCACATCACAATACCGTGCTTCATGTTTCTAATTTTATATCAAGATATCTAGCTGAATATATAACCAAAGTTTTCTACTTCTAACTCTGCATACGTGGGAACTGTGATATCATAACCGTACATTATTATTTACCTACAACTAAACAATGGAAATCACTTGAGCAAATGAGGCATAGGAAGTTAATTGTGTTTTTAATTTATTTTGGATACATGACTGACGATAATGTTACAGCATTATCCTGGAGTCGGCATACAGCCTCCACGACCGCTGTTTCTTCGACAACCTCGGCACGGTGCTCGTGTTCGCTGTATTTGTGAGTTCTGGTATACTTATTTGATCCATAGTAAAGAAGCTTAGGTTGTTGAATGAAGCTGGGTCTCTCCCTGGTTCATGAAGTATTTGCCCCTCTTTACTCTCTATAGATCTTAATGGAATATAAATAATGACGATTAGGAGTTTTGACTGCAATCAAAACTAATTAACCTTCCCTTCTTGAACAGGGTACCTTGATGAACGCCTTCTTTATAGGTGAGTGCTTCGAGATAAATGTCTAATGAGGGAAGTACTTTAAAGTAATTAAAACTTTACAGCACAAGGAGAAACGCTATATTACGCGGAAACAGAATTGAACCACATAATGCCCCTTAATCGAACACTCAAACCACTCGTAGCGATGCAATAATCTTGATACAATAATAAACACTAAATTAAGCATGAAATCTGTATGAAACTCAATTTTTCCTGAGGTCACTCATAGATATAAGCTGGTGATGATTCTGCATTTCATCAATCATGTAAATGCTGTGTTATGTCTTGCTTATTTTTTATTTGCAAATCCTTTGTTTATAATTTCAGTTTCTCTTTCCGCCTAAAATATAATTTTGATCATTGTAATATTTCTGAGGTGTTTTACCATATATAGCATGATATTTTAGATTATATTTTTGATATTTTGTCATGGAAACCAAAATTTTCTTCCAATTGTTGAGGTCCTGTGTTTATTTTCTTGAATTATTGGTCTCACATACAAGCCGAGTCTTCACACTGAACACTTTCGTCTCTATTTCTCATAGGGGTCTGTCTCTGGGGTCTGGCGACGTCTGGGGGAATGGGTGAGATCACGTTAACGTGAGTCCTAACATAACTATGATGAACTCAACTATTGTGGCTAATTTCCAGTTTTTTTTTACATATACGGCATAGATTTTTATTCTATTTACATAGACTTTTCAAGTGATTAAAAAGATTGTGCTTTATTGCCATATTATTGAACAGACTTGTATCATAATTATATTGGGAGATTAGATCGCAATTGTTTCGCTATATTGCATCATTATTGTGTGATACTAGTTGGTCAGGTTTTACTTTCATTTGTTCCATATTTCTCTTTATCTGTAGTAATTGAACTGACTTCTGACTTATATCAATGATCTTTCCCCCAATTCTCATCGGAGCTTTCAGAAATTTTGCGAAAATTAGGCCTTTCAAAAATTTACTTTGCAATCTTCAAGTCAATTAAGAAATTTTCCTCAGTGTTAGACATTTCCCCGATTTTTACAGATTATTTATTAAAACTGATAGCTCCTTATTTATTCCATGAAAATAACCTGTTTCGAAAAAAGAAACGTGGGTGGTGTACAAATTAGAAAACACTCAATTAGTGTATAAACAAAATGTTTAAATTTACATTAGATGCATTACTTTTTTTTGCTGCACACATTTTAGAGAAAAAAATTTAAAAAATGATAAAATTATAAAAATGCAAGCGATTAACTAATCACCAGCGAACAGACATCCATCTGCATGTTCTTCTACAAAAAATATAAGTAATAAAAGCTCAACATATACTTTCATTAAACAAAAGACGGATACCTAAGTATGTTTCTGAAATCACTGCTGCACGAAGGACAATTCGCGGGGAAAGCAGAACCATCGGCGACTTTTTCGAAATCAGGTTACACTTCTTAACTGAAATATATTTGTTTCGTTTCTTGTTCAACAAATTGTTTAGTTTGTCTATATAAAATTTTCTACTTGCAAACGAACTACGACCAGAAGTGTGGGACGGGCCTTAGATTTAGCATTAAAGTTTTGTGACTCTGACACGACTCGTTGTGAACCTCGTTTATTTCACTATTTCATTCACAAACGGATATTTCTTTACCCTACAATAATTCCAAATAAATTATTAAATGTTACGTTTTATTATTATTAAACTAACGTGAAACGAATACAGTGTAACTATATACCTATAATTAAGATATAACAACTATGCTTGCTGGTCATACGCAAACTTGCTCCGCCGCTGCATTGCCATCTCGCTTGCCCAAAGCACCATTCCGTTAACAATATTCGTTATTATTCAAAGCAGCAACGGCGGCCAATTTTCACGCAGAGCTATTGCGCTGGCCAGGGAACTGCTACGTCCATGCGTGTGCAAGTGGCGTAAGGACAGCACCAAACGATTCTATTTCCTTAGTTCCGGCTCAAATCTGTGACACATTCGAACTGGAAAACATTGTTTTTTATTTTCCGCTCAGGTTGAAAGAATCCCTGGTGTTCTCGTCGCTGATCAGCGCCGTCGACCCAGTAGCGGTGCTAAGTATCTTTCAAGAAATTGGCGTCAACAGCGGCTTGTACTTTCTCGTCTTCGGCGAGAGTTTGCTCAACGACGGCGTCACGGTCGTCCTGTACAACATGCTTTCTGCAGTCATGAAGGTGCGATGCATTAAAACTCGCTCACACGTCTCTTATATTCGATATTTCCGCTAAAATATCTACGGTTTTAAGTATCGTATTATAACGGTTATAAGCTTCGTTTAAGCTTCGTATTATAAATCGTATTACTTGGATAGAATTTCAATCATCATTTCTTGACCAGAGTCAAATTTGAGCCGTGAAATAATCAAGTTTGAAATTAGACTATTAAAATACGAACTAGAAGACCCGGATATTCCGCTCCTTTACCACTCACTATATTAAGTCAAATGTGATCTTTTTAGTCAATCTCTGGACGTGCAGATGTCGACAGTCACTGCGACAGACTACGTGCTATCGGTGGTAGCGTTCTTTGTTGTGGTGATCGGTGGTTCTATCATCGGTCTCTTCTTTGGCATCCTCACCGCTTTCTTCACCAAGTTCACAGGCACGGTGCGAGGTCAGTTGAAACGTTTCTATCGTTTATCTTCCCAAAAGTCTCGTAAATGAAATTTGCTATTGAAATCCGTGAGGAAACATCGCACTTCTTTTTCGACAAAAAAGTCACGAATGAGTTTCGGCCAAAACTCCCGTAGTGGCTCGAATTCAAAACAAATGCTACTTTTTATGAAATTTTTCAATATTCTTCACAAAAGTATTTAATATGATTCATGCAAGAAGAATTTCATTTAAATTTAGTTACTATTTTAATTTGACTAACCTGTTCGTGTTTATCTAATATTAAAAAGTCAATAATAATATCATTGACCTATTCGCTGTTTGTTTCGCTCAAACTCAATTGCCGAACAATAAGTTACATGCTTGAAAGATAAACATTTTGACTATCTTTTAAAAATATATATGTGGAGATAAATCTATTGAGCGTAAAATATAAATCTATATATCTGTATATGCATAAGTAGGAGTATTGTGCTACAGGCTTCATCTAATTCCCGGATAACCGTGTCGCGGAATTGTTCGATCAAAAAGTTAGTCATACTTTCGACAATAGTGCGACCTTTTTGGCATATTGTGCAACAAAATGTCGCACAATTACTGTCCCGGAATGCACCCATGTCGCAGAATCTACCTATGATTAGTATTTGCTAATAGTGAGACACAAAAAAAAAATTGAATGCTATTCTGCGACATGCTAAATAACGAAAACCTCGTTGGATTAGGGTTAGAGTTAGAGTTAGTGGTGTAGAAAATAGTTTTATAAACTTTTTTTTACAATTTTACTAAGGTTGGGTCTAGCCAGGAAAAGTTCTTTTACCTTAAATAACGCATTAAAAAACGTTAACTAATCATTGTCGAGGTCTTACCAATTATCCCCAAAACCGAAACTAAATAAAACTATCTGTATCATTAAAGACAAATCTATTAACAAGTCATCTAAAATGAAGATGTGAAGTAATTCGATGAGTACCTATATTGATGCAGTGGTGGAGCCACTGGCGGTGTTGGGCTTCGCTTACCTCGCCTACATCACAGCCGAGGTCTTCCACTTCTCCGGCATCATCAGGTAGCGTATCTATAAAACCGCTACTCAGTTGATGCAAACTTGATGCCAGACACAATTACTACCTATTTCGAGCAATAAGCTTCTACCGTATTTGTATATATATATTAATTTTTCTACATCAATGTTTTTGCATTCTAAAATCATAGGCGGAACAATTCTTACTGGAAGAGTTACTAGAATGTACAAAAGACTCACTGAACAGGCATCTATACATTCTTCATTCATCTAATAACTAGGTTAATAAATTCTTCTTCAAGGAGAAAAGTGCGCAATTGCGCAATGACCGCTAGCTGTATGCACCATGTTTAAAATGTTCGTGTAATTTGTGTATTTTTGGGCTGATTCTGTAAATACAGTATTATATAAGGTCAATTGAAGCGCGTATCTCCGATCCTTATTTTATTGGTATATTACCTGGATCTGACTTTTAAAAATTCATTCAAATATTTTTTATTATATTATTCAAATTTAGGCATTCAAATTTTCGATTGTTTTATATTAAAAACAAAGGAGAAACTTGCTTGCGCTTTTAAATTAAAAGGAACTCACTTGAATGCGTTTCAAGCAACTTCAACAATACTTGTTAATTTAAGACTAATTACGAGGTAAAAGCATTTTTGCAGGAAGCTGTATTTTAAAAATGGATTTTTAAATATTAAATAAAATAAACTAGTTCATTCAATGCAACTATGGCTGCAAATTATCCTAGGTTCAAGGGTTATAAAGCGTTCATTAAAATGAGTTAATGAGCATTATTCTCTCAACAGCCTGATAGTGGCAGGGCTGACACAGGCGCAGTATGCGTATCCCAACATCTCACAAAAGTCTTACACGACCGTCAAATACTTCATCAAAATGGCCAGGTAATGCTAACTCAATCATCACATCAACAGTAGCAGTGATTATACTTCTCATAATATAACAATCACCAGAGTAATTTTTTCGAAATTTTGTTTTAAATTCAGAAAATCGGGAGGAGTATGGAAGTAGTCTAAATCAATACTTCCTTCAAGGCTCAACAAATCTAGTCTTCATTTAAAATCATTAATAAAAATTTCTTTCCTTAACGCGTGAGTTTGTTTGACTCACTTCGTATCACATCTGACCCCATTGTATCAACCTTGATTCACTTCATTTACAGTGGAATAGCTTGAGAGTCCCAAGCCTTAGAAGGACTCATTGTGATCCAGTCCATTTTAAGTTTAGGTAGAAGTGTAGCCTTTGGCCATCATAGTTCATGTTCATATCATAGTGATGTCGGCGCGCTGAAAAATAGGCCTGCTGTTTAGGTTTAGTACTTAATTAGCACTGTCTGTTTGAGTAAGCAGATGAAACTACTTAAGATGGCTTATACCGTGACTCGTACAAACAAAAAGCCATTCTAACACCAGGCCTGTCGTAATTTTACAGCTATTAATAATTTAGGTTCCCAGCAATTATAGTTTTCATCTGAGACCTAAAAGTTTTAAGCTAAGATACTAACTATCGTTGTGTTACGTGCAGCGCCACGAGCGACACGATCATCTTCATGTTCCTGGGCATGGTGCTGGTGCATGAACAACATGCATGGCAGACGGGCTTTATAGTCTGGACGCTCGTGCTCTGCTTCATCGCCAGAGTTATGAGTGAGTTTTATCTGGAAGCCAGCGATCTATTTGTGAATGCCATAGTCCTCTGGACTGATCTTAGTCTTCTGCATTTTTCCGCTTTTATATTTGACAATTTTATAACAAAAATATCAAAATTATTTTGCTTTTTATTGCAAATTATCCTCTGAAACAAAAAATTTATTAAAAAATTAACATATTAACTGCAATAATACGGAACCTTTATGTCGGAATTTTCAAGGTAAACATAACGAAATTGAATAAATCGAGCAAATAATGATGGTAAATTTCAGAACACCTCCAGATTGCTCTGCATATTGATAATATTGATGCCGACAGTCACGTTGCTTCTGGCGCCGATCACGAACCACTATCGCCTGAACCCCATCGGCATAGCTGAACAGCTCATCCTGGCTTACGGAGGACTGCGAGGCGCCGTGGCTTTCTCGCTCGTCAAGTTGTTACCATCAGAGTTTGAACACAAAGAACTTTTCATCACAGCTACGCTTGCCGTCATCCTTTTTACAGTATTCGTGCAGGTAAGAGACGGAGGCCTGCACAATTTTAGGATTCATTTGTATGAGTTATTTCCTGCATAATTAAGATAGTCTTCTGTATGGTTTTCTTCCAGTAGGATTAGGTATTTCATCGCCGTGTTGCTTGGCTTCGTAAATGCAGGTACAAATATTCCAAGCTCATTAATTGCGACTCAAGGTTGAATTCATTTCGAGTGAGGTTCAGAGTTTTTTTTTACCTATGGGGCTCCTCAGGTGGATTTTCTAGTTAGATTTACATTATATGTTTATTTATGCACTCGGTTATCTTCGCCTCTTTATACATATGGCTTAGCATACTGAAGTTTCATGTAGGAGCTAAGTTTTTTTATGTTTTTGAACTATTAATTAAAAACTTCACAAATAAGAGTATCTAAAAATTCATATTTGTTTTTGAACTATTATTTAAAAACTTCACAAATTATAGTATATAAAAATTTATATTTGTTTTCGGTCAGGGCATCACTGTAGGGCCTCTGGTTAATTTCCTGAAAGTGGCGATGAAGTCAAAAAGGCCCCGGCAGCTGCTGGAGGAGGTCAACCTGAAGGTGGTGGACACGATGATGGCCGGCATCGAGGAGGTCATCGGCCAGATCGGTGACAACAAAGTCAGGGTGAGTGCTTTAAAAATATTTTTCTTTAGCAACAATATTGTTCAAAATTAATTTCTTATCCAGAAAGATGATTATGTTACATGTATATATGAACGGCGGGAACTGTGCTGATATTAACTAATTATCTATCGAAACGGTGTAATGATATTTATCTTTGAAAATGTGCAAAGATATTTTTAAATAAATTTTCTTTCCCAACGTGCAGGCGTACCTGAAGGCCGTCAATGACAAGTACTTCATGAAATGGTTCACCATCCCCACCAAGGAAGACCCACTCAAAAAATTATACGAGAAAATAGCTATTACGTGAGCCTAATTGACATATTTATATAATTGTTTAATATAATCTAGTTTAATGATAAAAAATGTGCACTAATAGCTGTTAAATTACCCCATTTCAATCATATTAGCAAATATAATAAAAAATATTATATTAAATTTCTTAATATAATACAAACATTGTATATAAAAATTCCTATAGAAACAGATTCTATATTATATTTAAAATTGAGAAAATATCGCAAAAATCTTTCGCAAACATGTGAAAAAGCATTATTATGATCAAATATACTGATAATAAACGGCTTAACATTTTGCTGGTTGCAGGGAGCACTACGCTAACCTGTACGGCCCCAGCATCATTATTGAGAAGACCATGCAAGCGTTGTCAGTGTCGCGCCAGAACGTCAACGACGGAGAGTCTATCTACGAGAGTCAACGCGGCTCGCAAGACAAGTAATTCTTCGTTAGCCACTAGCTATTCATTGTTATAGCCTTGTGAAACTTATTTATAAAGAACAGCGGCCGTACTTTATAAAGTGGTTAAGAATTTTTTACTCAGTCAGTCAATCACTGACGCAATCAAGCTTAACATGCAAATCAAAGACAAAAATTGGCCGCTACGTTTACCTGGGCCGCTTCGGTACCATACACAGCTTTTTTGATGGTTCAGCCCAGGCAGGTTGTATATTACTGAAGATAGTTTATCGTTGAAAATACTTCTCTGTTATACACAATAGAAAATTTATTATTTGAGACACTGGGCATAATCAGCCTGCATCTGCTGCAACAATGTCCGATGAGAAGTTTTATTTTTCCATTTACTAAATCCTAAATAAGTCGCAGACGAGTTGTGAAACAACAATTTTATCCGCACGAATTGCAATTTTTATGATATTGATAGCAGCATTCACTATTCATAATTTGCAATAATTAATAAAAATGAATATTGCTTATTAACCGCAGGAGTTGACATTTTTCATCTCATACTTTATCTATATTTATGATTTTTTTATATTTTTTTTACATATATTTAGCTATCTGTTTCTAATGATAATAATTATTCGAACTTTGAAAGCACAGATTTCTTCATAACTAACAGACTACTTGTACAAACCGATGGACTATGAATACTTGTACAAACCTATGAACAGATACCATTAAATAGTATCTTGATTCATTACAGTATTGTGTCCGGCGAGCTCGACATCCCCATGAACTCCTACCTCGGCAGCAGCTTGCATGTGCACAGGTTAGATTTGCTTTACGTATTGTTACATTTTCTGGCTGATTAAATAAATTATTTAAGGCTGGTCATTACAATGTCAGCTTGTAAGTCGTTCATTCTGGCACTGTGGTTCCCAAACTTTCCTTTTCTTACGCATGTTATCGGTTTATGCATTTTGGACGTCAGAATGTCCTTTTATTTGCGTCATGTCGTAATCAATTCGCACATAATTCGGTTTACTGCTTTAATTTAAGGGTGGGCGTTGAGACCAGGATCGTGGCGTGAGGCACTAGTTGAAAATCGTGGCCAGATTATAATGTCTTAAGCAGTTAACAATTTTGTGAAAAAATAGAAAGCTTAGTAAAAAATCAGTCATAGAAGCAATCTTCTCGCGTACCATATATAATATTCTTGCTTTTTGTACTTTATTTATTGAAAAGTTTTCAAAAAATGGTCTCTTCTCACCATCACAATGTCTTGGAACACCAGATGGACTGATGGACTAAAACATATAGACGGAGTCCTTCCGGCTTTGAAGAATGTCAATATGTAACACACGACATAATTTACCGATCTTAAAACATGTGTTGACCAGGTAGACTGATGGACTAAAACATATTGACTAAGTCCTTCCAGCTATGAACTATTTCGGTTAAATCTTGATACACCCATCAATAATTCAACTCATCTTTTTCTTCCCGACATCCCTGACAGAGGCAGCAGAAGCAGCCAGCGGCGGCGGAGTTCCGCCAGACACAGCCTGGCGCCTTCCAGCACGGGGTCGAGAACGTCCAAAGGCAGCGGCGGCGCGTACTCCAGAGAGGAGGATGCCAAGATTTTGCTCAAGGCTATCAACAATAACGCCTTCAATAAGGTTACGATCGCCTTGAATATATCATAAAGCCATACACCGTAAGATGTCCTTCAATAACATCACTTTGAGTGCGAGACGACCCACCGGTGGGTTACAGGGTCTTCTTCCTAGACAAATTCATGCGATTCATTCTTTTTAAAAGGCGTTGGTTTACAAAAATTTATTCTGGCAGTACTACCTTATTAAATGTCAAAAAGTACGAAAAAAAGCATTAAATTTTTGCACCAGACCCTATAAATTTACAACCAAGTATTGAATTATTGCGCTTTTTGTTTGCGGGATTGGCCGTTTCTGGGCCTTTTGGGTCGTGCGGCACTCAACGTGAAATTCAACGGAAACATCAATCTTTGGAAAAAAAATGCATAAAAGGGTGTTAATATTCTCATTAATTAAATGTTGTGGTTATAATGTTGTTATCTTCGCAGCTTCACTACACTTGCAACAAGAACCTGCTGGACGAGGATGACCAAGACATGATGAAGCACATGGACCGGCGGAGGGACCACGCCAAGCGCCTCGCTCGTCTGGCTGCTGAAGCCGACCACGCGGGCGGCGGTCAGGGCCAATACGTGTCGTCTCACAGGCCCTCAGACTACCATGGTCTGCCTGAGCTCTACGAGTGAGTTTCTTTTATAGTTGCATTGAATATGATTGGATTAAAGAATTGGATTGAAAATAATTGGATTGAATATATTTGAATTTAAGAATTGGATTGAATATGATTGAATTGATGAATTGGATTGAATTTAATTGGATTGAATACTAGTATTGTCAGAGGCACCTCCCAGCCTGAGACAAATTATAAAAATTCTGCATCATGTAATTCTCGACGGTCGTTTGTTCCATCAACGATCAACAGCTAAGGCTAAGTCTGTTATATTAGTAAGCATATACTACGTTATGCCATGCCTTTCTACCATACAATTAAATTTTGCTACTAGACAACATTTTAATTGTAATTTATCTTTTCAGGGATTTCCACCGGGATGTATCAGGTCAGTTTAACAGTAAACTCGTCGTCCAGGATTCGCAATATTCTCTTCATTTATTGCTTCCAAAACACAAGATTATAAACGAATAGTAATAATGTAGAAATTAGGAATTCTAACCAAGATGTCAAAATTTTATGCATGCTGGATAATCTCAAACGTTTTTAACTTACCCGTGAGTTTGAATCCGTACTAAATTCTGAGCTGAAGGTGCTTGCAGCTGCCACAATTTTCTGAGGCTATAATCGCGACTAATTATCGTACAACTGGCCTCTTGTTAAGGGTGCTGGCCAATGAATCCTTCCGTAACCAATAGCTAGTGTCTGTACACGAGGCCAGTATCACGGTAAATAGTGGCGGTTAGTAACTGAAAAGGAAGTGGCCAAGTGTGTAAACCCATTTATAAAGTTTATTACGTCATCAAGTTGTCTAACAAGTCTAACGGAAATTCCCATTCACACAAGATTCAAGAAATTGTTGATTTTTTAGATTTCACGCGAGAATAGAGAGTTATTGAAAGTGTAATAGAGATAGTGTTGCCTGCATTATTATTTCTAATTTCGAACATTATTGCAACGATGCACAGATGACGTGCCGGAGGACGTGATGGTGCTCGTAGACACGCGCAATTTGGACGCCATAATGAACTTCCACAAGCGGCATAACATCAGAAAACAAAGTCTCAGGCAAAGATCTTACGGAGATGCTTCAACTGATCCAGTCAGTCCCGACCCTCTGCTCAGCAGCACGCCCGAGTCTGGGCACAACAACTTGGCTTAGAAGTGATTCGAGAATAGAGAGTTATTGAAAGTGTAATAGAGATAGTGTTGCCTGCATTATTATTTCTAATTTCGAACATTATTGCAACGATGAACAGATGACGTGCCGGAGGACGTGATGGTGCTCGTAGACACGCGCAATTTGGACGCCATAATGAACTTCCACAAGCGGCATAACATCAGGAAACAAAGTCTCAGGCAAAGATCTTACGGAGATGCTTCAACTGATCCAGTCAGTCCCGACCCTCTGCTTAGCAGCACGCCCGAGTCTGGGCACAACAACTTGGCTTAGAAGTGATGTTAACCCTCTACCACCGTATGTCACTCTCCGGGAACATAACTTTCAACTTAAATGATACGTAAACTATTGAGTGTAGCAACCTGAGGACGTTCATACGCAACAGAGAACATTTTAAAGTTGTCATACGTGGCGGCAACCATCTGTGCAAGTCATTTTGCGCTCATTAGAACGTATCCTTTTTGGGAAGTAGGCTTGTGACAATATTGCTCCGGTCACTCATGTCAGGCGGTAGAGGGAAGAGGTGACCATGCTGTATAGGTACTGAGATCCGTTGAGGTGTGAATCTGAAGGATTTGAATCTGTCATGGAGAATTGAACGAGATGTAGTCATTATTAGGATGCATAAATTGCATATACGAGTATTGAGGTGCACGATAAGCAAGAAGGATGGGATCGTTTAAACTTTAAAGAGATGACTGTACAGTGCTTAAGAAAAGAAATTAATTTGGCATTTTTACTTCGAGAAGTTTGAAAAGTGATTGAAGCGTACCTGCTCTCATTATGGAAGAGGATTGATTCACACGTAAAAAAAATTATATTTTTTAAGGTTAAATTAGGTGGCGATTTCTACAGGCTGGATCTGGTGCAAAGTTTTGCTTTAATTCATTATGACTTAATTGTTGTTTCTATATAAAGCTACACGACTTGTTAAAATTTATCCTAATCACTGAATGTGTCATTTTAGTTAGTATAGTAAATAAAAAATATAAATTCACTACTAAGGCCTGTCAAAATTTTATTGGATGGCAATTGGACAAAATACTGATAAATAGAGGATTTTTGGCGCAAGAATACACGCCAGCAACCTACGAATATTCATAGTACGAACATTAAAATTTATTCCAAAAGAACGGGTGGTAATAAATTTCTGACGATGTGCAGGTTTTTGTAATATAAAGTGGGAATTTCCACTCAAATTCTATATTATAGTTTATAAATTCGACTTTATATTAAGATTAGGGTTCAATTACACTCGATAGCTACCTACAAACGACCTTGAGATGCAGGCAACGTCCTATTAAGTACTTCTTTTTATGTGGTGCCAGTTTGTTCTTAATAATTGTGTTGAGGACATATTTGCCATTTCTTTCATAAGGCGGAATGTTTTTGATCTTTTTGACTTATGATCAGTTGGCATTGGTAGAGAAAGCAATGGATTGGCATTATGGAAGAACCTTCAAATAATTAATATTCATACATAGTACAGGAGTGAGTCAATGTTTTTTTTAAAAGCATCATGCGTAAAATTTCTGAATGATTAAGAAACTGAGATAGTATCCGTCCAGGATGCCAAATCAAAGCATGTCAATCTTGACTATTATATTTTAATGTAAAAGATTGATAGAAATTTCATAAATGCGTCGAATATCTTGAAATACTTATTGGCGGCAAATTTCATGTTGTTCTTTGATGCACGCTGATTATATTATCGGAAATTACGTAATGGGTTTCATTAACTTTGATGTTTATTTAGGAATAATAATATGAACCAGAGAACAAATTTCGAAAAAAAGGATGGAAGGAATTGAAATAAAGATTGATAATTTGAAAATATTGTTAAGTGAACTGGTCAGAGACAATTCCTCATGTAAATAGCTCGATTTTCTCTCGTATAGAATGATAACTGCGATGACTTAATTGGTTTACTAATTTCATTTTCATATTTCAGTTTAGAAGTGCTAACTTTAGATAGCGATCCTGTCTTCCGATAACCAAATTATTTCGTTGGTTAAGTAAACTTAACCGTGGTTATTTGATATGGAAACAAAAACTGACCAACGAACTGCGCTGGCTCGTTATTTCAAGTTTCTCGAGAGGTTTGTAGAGCGATTATGGATTTTCAGGCATACTATACATCTATGTACAAATTGTTACAAATATTCCAAGAAATAAAAATATTACTCAACCAATGCTGTTATTTCACTTTGCTTTTCATCTCCTTTGTAAGCTACGTCGTTAATTTATCATCATTGAAGGATCGTGCAAATATTTCTACGTTTGAATAGCAAGTTTTATGTATTAATGACAAAGATATACTTACAAAGATATACTTATAGTTGGTAGACGTAGGTACAGTTCTTAGGCGAATATAGTACAGTTTGATGCACCTCTGTCTAACGGTCCATCATACACTTCAAATGAAAAAGTATGTATCTCTATTGCAAATTTACTTGAATGTAGTTAGTTTGGGTGCTTTAAGTTGATGGAAAATCCGAATATCCACGAAACGATCATTGACCTAGCGGAATATCTGTTCCATACAATTAGTGAAGGGTTATAATGAACTAATTCTCCTAAGGAAATGCCATCGTAACGCATCTTTCCTCTGTCTCTATACAGCAGATGTTATGTTACCTGCAATCGGTCACGCTCCAGTAAGTTATTTAGCGAACTTCGTTCTGAAACCCATAACATATTTACTTATGGCAAATTTACACATCACTTAAGGCATTTTACTCATCACTTCTCATGATTAAGAATGGTGCTTAGGACGAGAGAAAATTTAGTGTTAATATTAAATTTCTACCAAATTGATCATAACCCTTTCGTTATATACTTGATATAGTTGTGGAAAAATCATATAGATTCAGAAGTCACATTGCAAACAAATATTCTTGGAGCGGCGATAGGAGTTCAAAGTGCAAGCAAACAATCCTAAATGAGATCAAATCAAGCATCTGCCACGTAATACTTCTCAGAACTGATGATGCCAAAGAATTGTTACTCAACTTTTCTGCTTCTCAAATTTGGATAAGATCATATAGTAGAGGTATGATTACAGGTTTCAATAAAGAAAAGCACGACAACATGCAACATACGGAACTAAAAAACAAATCAAAGAACTCTTTGGTCATTAAACTCACGTGTGTAAGGTACTTACTTATACACGGGGCTAGTAGTATTAGCTGCGAGTTTTCGCACTCTAGATATTGTGATTATTTATTTTTCACATGCGAGAAGCTGGTGCATTTGCGTCACCGGCAATTCAAGTTATAAATGTGCCGTCTAGAATTGGGACTAGTGTGCACATTTGTGCCGCGCTGTGTCCTGCTTGAGACAAGTGTTTCTAATGTTATGAAATATTTATTGTCCTAACGACGATGGCTCTATGAACGTCAAGAGGTGTTCATATGACATTGGACTGTTCTTGTAGATATTCCATATGCACGATCTACGGTGGAATGGACGTCACGATGAATATTCCAACAAAAACTAATTGAGAAAGTAGTGTTTTGAAATTTTATTAGGTCTCTTACCAACATTCTACATCGGTCTACAAATTTTTTCACCTCCTCAGCAAGAGTGGCAACTAAGCCACCAACTCCCCCATCAAACGTCTTCTCAAACTCGTCATTACCGTAAAATTCTATATTCCACCATGCACAGAGCTAATTAGGTGGGTACAACGTCACGTCTCGGACAAATTGACGGCTGGACTTGCGGCTGGACTCACGGCCGATTTCCCAATTCAATGATAAAGAAATATCTCCCAAACTATTGAACGCAGCTGGATGAAACTTGGTGCACGTATTCATTAGAACCTAACAGTGATGTTTAGGTCGTGAAAATAATTTTTATTTCGCCTTCATTCTCGAGTATATGGCGATACGGGCCGAAATTCGCAGTGATCTAGGAATTTCTTACAAACTACAGAACAGATTTGAACGAAATTTTGAAAATACATTCCTAACTACCAAACCCGATGTTTAGCTCGTGACAATTTTTTTGATTTTGCCTTCGCTTGCGAATTATGTGGCTATATGCGAATTATGTGGCTTGGTTAACGCAAATTTAAAAATCAGCCTCAGAAATGCCGGTCGTTTCTCCCTATATCCGGAGCGTTGTAACTAAAAAACAACTATACAACTCACTATTGTATATAAAAAGGCGCCTTTGTTCAATTATAAGCATTATTATAAAATACCGTCTACATAGCTAGTAGATGGTTCGTTGTATTGAATTTGGGCTTCGCTCTGACAACAAATGACATGACAAAAATATTGTGGTTATTTCATATGACGGGTCCGTGACACAATCAGCAAGAGGTTGCACTTGCAGGCCTGTGGCCGCGGGCGCCGGGCAGCCCTGGTCACTCCTGGTGCAGTGCTGAGTCATGAGTGCTCTAACTAAACAGTGTGGCTTGAGATGCTGTGAGTGGAGGTTGGTGACAAAAGTCGATGCCTGACACCTGTTGCCTTCGATTCCAGCAGTTAATCAGTTAGCTATTCAATATATACAAAAGAAAGTTACTAACATTTTCTTAACGAAAATGAAAGGTAAGAAATAGAGATAACCGTCCGTGAATGATGCTTCTCTCTTAGTTACTAGGTCAAATTGGTCTTGATAATGGTTAATTGTGGATGTCGATGTGAAATGAAAACCTACCTACGGCTACGGGCTACTACGTGACGCTAGAGTAGCCTAGGGTACCTTAGCTCAAGTTAGCTGTAAAATTGTATTCATGTGTTTCTAATTTTATTATGTTATTCAATGTCAAAACACGCCAAATGACTTACTAGTAATCGCATCTATGTTCCTATTTCATTCACCTTCTGTACCGCAACAAAAGTAGAAATAAATGCCCCGAGCGTTGAAAAGACTGCTGACGCATTACTATGGTCTAGAGTAAATTCTGTATAGGCTAGTGAGCCGAATGTGAGCAGTGAGTGGAACTGTGGAATGAAAACCTATGAGCTTTCTTCTTGTTGTCGTTTGTGACATTGCTAAACTTTGTACAATATCAGAAAATAAAGTAACGTCGTTGATAATGAAAATTAACTTATTTTTTATCGTATTTGAAATCTTCGAAAAATAGCTAAATTACGAGAACGGTGTTTTTGCCTCTTGATTACAAGGTACCGTAGTCTTTGTCAGTTTGTGCGGGAATATGACCACTTACACTTAGACCGGTGGCGTGTGAAGCGATCATCTACCTAGAGATTTTAGATCAAAGTACTAGTCCTATAATTTTCTGGCAGCAGCTGTGCGTGACTAATTCTCTTTCAAATTAAAGAGAACTAAGCTCGGTATGAAGCGAATCAAGCGATTGTTCACTTGATTCCTCTTCGCAACTTCTCTTCATGTCGCTGTCCTTCTCTTTTACCGCGTGAATAGGCTATGCGGCATTCACGTTGATTTTGAGATGCCATTTTCCTGCAGTTTTTTTTTTGCCAGTCGTTTTTTTGGCTGTGAGCGATTATATTCTGATAATAATGGAGAGTTCTGACAATAATGGTGGCTAAACGTTAGGGAATTCAGGTTAATTTACCGTCCAAAAGAAAAGCATTGGGTGAACAAGACTATCGATTGATCGTGATTTCATACTTGTGTTGCCAGCTGTACGACGCGCTAGTTAGGCTCATGATTATATTGTGTGACAAAATAACAGTGTGAGTCGTTTCTAGTAGTTTAGTTCGTAGAATGCTAGATCGCGATACTCAGTTACTTCTTACCTATTTACGGTAGACGTAGTCATCTTAATACGGTAGTCATCTTAACTTCCAATTTCTTCCTTTCCTTATCTGATCATCATAAGCCTTATAGGCGTGGAATTGAAGAGATCAAACTTGATTTAAAAACATATATTTAAGAAATATTTCCGCGTTATATATAACTTTAAAATATTTTCAAACGATTAAACGACTATAAATTTGAGGACATTTATAAACATTTTCTGGATCTCCGTTCACCTCACGCCTGTCACATACCGATTGATCGTGGACTGGCTGTCAGTCATCCTGCTTTGTCACGGCGCCTAGCCGCGATCGACGTGAGCTAGCGCCCTGCAATAGGTACCGAGCTTCATAATTTTCGCCACGTGACATTGGCAACTACCTCGGAGCCTTGACTTTTTGCCTTTGCCTTTACAGTCAATTGAGTACGTGTGCCGTAAGTGTAATGTATAGTTTGTACACTCTCATCGTATGTACCGTATATATAAGGAATGGCCGAGTTAAGATGAGTCTCTGTCATTTCTTTTTGTCTTTAGTTTACTCACTTTAGCTTTCCAATTAATTATCCGTGTGCTGTGAGCCTGGCGTGACCCTTTGGGGTGCCATTGTCCAAACGAAGTCAGGAAACCACTCGAGTCTATGGTTTTTTCAGGAGCTTTGAATTTGATGACAATTGAATTGCGACATTCTGAATATCTAATTTCTTCCTTGCCATTTGATCCGCTGGAGGGAATACACAATTTCCAATAATACCAAATTAGTACGGATACTGTTGGTCATTTGTTAAATTGTACATTAACACATCTTTTAGTCAAGGTTGCAAAGTTACCGGTATCTTTGGTTTTGAATTAATTGAGTTTGAATATTTTTTCCTATTAATGGTATAAATTGTGGGATCTACGAGCAGATGAATGTCAATGTTTAAAGCAAGCATCAACGCTGCACTGAAGCGTTCAGCGAAATCAATTACCTACTATGTGATATTTTGGTCCATACCTTTTTGCTTTTTCACTTTTTAAAATAGTTGTACAGGATTTTTTTCTAGCAATTATTGCGTTTTTTTTATTTATTTTCTGCCATCTGGTACATTTTTCAGAACGACCTATTCGCAACTTAACTAAATGTTAAGTTAACACTCATAATTTCAAGTGTTATTTTGATGTAAATGATCTCAGTTGGTTCTTGCAACCGTCTGACAAGACTGCAGCCGATAAGGATGTGTTGCCTCATTATGCTGTGGCATAATGCTTCTGATAATGATGCGTTCAAATGACGACATTGTCATGGTAAAGTTATAAAAATTGTTTCTTGTAGTCTAAGTAGAAGTCAATGTTATCATGAGATTTGTTTATAGGTGACGGCAATTGACTAGAAATATTGCAACCGTTGCTAGTTTTTTACGTTTGCTTTCTTGTCAGGATAATGTGCGGTCGCCGCTCCTGCTCTCTTTTTTGTTCGCTCTTTTCAAGGACAGAGAAGCCTCGGGCAAGGATGACACATGGAATTACTTACACTATACCATTAATTTGATCTTTTAACTCCTCATTTCAACTTGTTTGTCGTGTAACAAAGTTTTTTTCTACATAACTTCATAATCGGTATAGGTAATGACTGGAATGAAGCGCCTACAGTATAATGCCTGGTATAGGCGCGGCCATTGCTCTTTCTGCCTCACCAGTATTCTATTAATTATTATTTTATTATCCATTATCATTTTTATCTTCAGATCGTCCGAAGAATATACACAATAACTATTATATCATTATGTTGTACCTATCTAAATCATTCGTAATTTTGACCTTTAAGAAAATTAGAAATTATCTTCGGAACATTGGCGGCCAAGCCTCGGGTTTCCAATAATCATTAATGTATTAATAATCATGCCTGATGTAATAATAATCATAATAAATATAATGATTATGTTACCATCTATAACGCCAATGCTGCGGGCGCTGCTCAGGCATCGATGATGCTCAATCCACATGTAATGCATCCTAACATATGCTCAGGTGGTAACGTTATAAAAAAAGTATTTCAATATTAATTTATTTTTTGCGATGATTTTCGGCACGCTCGTGCAGTATTTACATATTGTCTTGAATTCGTGTTCATTTAACATTTGTCTTGTTCAAGATAATGACTGGAAGCAAGGTATAATGACTGGAAGCAAAGCATAATGACTGGAAGCAAGGTATAACTACCTAAAAATATTTAATCCTGATAAATCAGTTGGATAAATCCGAACAAAGAACACTGATGTTTCTTGGTGAAAAACAGTATGTTCTGCTGGTAACTGTGGACTCTTCAGAGCCCTTCATCTCACCTCTCTTAAGAACTGATGTAAATCGCAGACTCGTGGAATCCTCGAGACGATCTGCACACTCACGTCAGCGGAGGAAGAAGCGTGGCCTGGGACTGCAACGTCTGTAACACCAACATAGGGAAATAGCCCGCAAATTAACTAAAATGATATTCGCGTTAATAACTTATATACCGCCTCGGTAACTGCTTGAAAAAATGATTGGGAAACAAAATCACCAGCAGCAGCAACCGCAGAACAAACAGTAGCATCATCAACTGCGCATCAATTGCAGCATAAAAAGCAGATGTTTAATCAACATCAACATTACCCGACAATTTTGATGTCGGGTAATAAAAGCTTGAATGTTCGCTAATCCTGCCTGTCATGTTCAGCCTCAGGTTTTTGGTCGATTATGGTCAGGTTGTCATTTCATGGTGCTTTTAGATCTTAGCAAGTCAGAATTATCTGAATCATGAAGTTTATTCTTATGAATCAACTAAATTGAATCTAGTCAGCTTGTAAGTACAAATTGTTTGCAAAATGAAATCATGGTGATTGTATATATTCAACTATTCATTCATATAAAAGACTGATGATTAGTCAGTCAGTAAAATCAATCCCAATTTTTTAATGTGCTGACATAAACTTGGTTCTCGACTCAACATTTCCTCCAAGTAAAGGGCACCGACCTTGAACTCGTTATTTAAATTGGAAGACTTAACTACACCGCGCACATCACACGTTGACGGCCGTTATGTTGGGACCTTCCAGTCCATACGCACTGCCTGGCACAATTGAATCTCTAATTCATGGCGCTGGCTACAGTCATGGTATCGACCTCACTTTCGTAGTAATTCATTTGTGACTCTAAACACGGACTGTTGCGGGGCGTGGCCTTTGTCGGGCTTCCACATACGTATTTATACTTATAGTTTTATTTTTATTGCTATGTTGGATGATTAAATAGCGCCGCGGAGACACGTGCGATATTTTTACCGGTGCACGAATGGGAAATGTGTAGTAATTGTTTATAAGTTTGAAACTAAACAGCTGTTATTTCTGTAATTATTGTTTACAATATTTTTGCTCACTATGTGTATTGATACGTTAGTTACGGCGAGGCTCAGTAACCGCCCTGAACACACTCGTATGCATGTATATATGTGTATTTTTCCCATGAAGTATTGAAACATGTTCCTACATTTGATACAAGCTTATAGTTGTGTTTGTCTGGTCTTCTAGTCTCATTACAGTTTTCACTCTTGTGAGGATAGTCCGCAATTGTTGATAGAAAGATGACAACCGATCTGGAGCAACTCCATTATAATAAACGAAAAATTAATGCAAATGTAAAGAAATAGAGAAGTAATATTTCGGCTTTGTTAAGCTCGCATTATAGAGCAGTGAAGAATTTACAATTTTATAAAGGCAAGTTTTTTAGAGTTCGGTGTTAAAGTCAGACTCTGTTTGCAGGTAATATATATTGAATGACTCAGCAGTGCTTATTTAAGGACTTGTAATC